GTGTCTGCCACAAGGGGATTGTATTGGTATGAATAACTTGAGAACGGCGAATCTTAGGGAAAAAATTAAAGTCACCTTTTTTACGTATTTTGTGTATTAAAATATAAATCATTTACAATGACATGTAAAAAATGCAGTGGCGTAGGTTTTTTTGTAAGAATGGGGGTGACCCCTGTCCAGTTGTACACCACTGGTTGAACCTTTGGGGCTCATATTTTAGGGACTACTAGGCCTACTATAATACATTATCTGTACCAAATTTTATTGATATCGGTTAATAGATTCCGGAGATATAAACAAAAAATCATTTTTTTTTGACAACTTCAACACCCTGTATCTCTAAAACGGTGCCGTTCCAGACATATGTTTATAAGTCAAACACATATTATTTTAAAGAGATCTATCTGCCCTCGAAGTTTCCTGCATAAAATTCGGACCACCCTGTATACAGGGTTACAATTTTTTAATTATCATATACAGGTATCTTTCTTATTTTAAGAAAAAAGTTACAGAAATGGTTAAATGAGCAAAAATGTGCAGATTTTTATGCCTATCACGGATCCGTGATAGGGAAGATATTCGAAGCAAACCGATTTGATGTTATTTCTTTTTTAGTTGTTCTTCAAATTTTTTTTACAAAAATGCATGGTCTGATATGAAATGATAAAAGGAATCGATTTTTGCTGTCATATTAAATTTAGAAAAAAAAAGGAAGTTCTCTTTATAACGATATATAGTTTATGAAGTTTTCATAAATAAATAATCAAGATATTGAATATAATTACAATTTTAATAAAAAAAAAAGTCTAGTGGCCATGTGAAACATTTGAATTTTTCTATAATTTAATCTAATTTCTTATTTTTAATACTTTTTAACACAATAACCTTTATTTGTATAATAATAACAAGAGCAACAAGAATAAATATTTCAGAAGCGATAAACACAATACCTCTCGACATGATTCAATCTGCTACTCAGAGCATTTATGAACGAGTGCAGAAATGTATAAATAGTAGTGGTATGCACTTTGAACATTTGTGATAAAATTTTGTTTTGCTTTATCTATATTGTTTTATTCCTTGCTGTTGTTATTGTTATGTAAATAAAAGTGGCTGCATTAAAAGTAAGAAATATTAAATTAATTGATATATATGTACTTCACATCGCTACTTGACTTTTGTTATAACAATAATAATTATATTATCCAATTATACATCGTTATAAAGATAATTTCATATTTCTTCTATGAGACAAAAATTCAATATGCGTCCATAACAAAACAAAAATTAGCTACCGACCATTCAACACACATTAATACAGCACCGTACTTAGGTACAACAAAAATCGTTGTCTCACATCATTTAATAATATAAGACTACATATTTTTGCACTAAATTTTTGAAAAATAAATGAAATGCGACCAAAAAAATAAATAGCATAAAATTGGTTTGCTTCGAATATCTTCGGAACTAATCGGAATTTTCTAAATTCATAAACGAATCTGTGATCAGTATAAAATTTTGTACATTTTTTCTTACTTGACCATTTATGTAACTATTAAAATAAGAAAGATACCTGTATTGGCCAATTAAAAATTTTCAACCCTGTATATACTTCTCTAAGATATTCTTGATGACCTTCTTTATGTTTTAAGTAAAAAAAGACTATTATTGGCTACCTTAAAACCCCACTATAACACATTACATTTAAGTACCTATGTTAAAAAATGAAATGTTTCTATGTAGGTCCGTAACTGATTAAGGAGGTAAAAACTGTTCTAGAGTGCCTTGATCTCAATTTATTGTCAAACAGGTCTTATTCTACCAAGTATAAATCAGTTGTTTATGGACACTCTTATTTTATCTGTCATCTGTATTAAAGTTCTCTTACATATGGAATTTCTTTTTTTTTCTTTCGAAGATGTTTATGTCATCCATATTATATGTCCCCGGAATTCTTACAACTGTGGACAAAAAAACTCCAACTTAAACTACCTAAGGGCCTTTTAAATATCATTTTTGCGCTGTAAACGTTTTATGTTAGAAACCTTTTTTGTCCATTCTTTGAAATAATACTAAATACAAGCAAATATCAATTTCTTTCTGCAGACTTAAATAAAAGTGATTTAGAGAAGTCAGTGAAAAATTTTATCTCGATTTTGATTAAAATAAGCAAATAAGGAAAATTCAGTTTCGAATTTTTTAAACGACATTAAAAAAGTGATAACTGCTATAAATTTTCAAAATACGTAAAATATAATAGTAAAATAAACTTACCACTTTTATTATATAAAATGTCATGATATTTGTCTACCGCACTGGTCACTAGATGAGCCATGTTTAAATCTGCAAAAAACGATTAAGTATTAGTAGATTCAGACCTTGATGTTGATTCAAAGTAAATCAACAACTAAGTACAATAAAAATAGTTTAAATAACTATGATTTATCCCCAAATTGCATCAACGATTCGTAAATATAACTTTCTATTATCATCGATTACTTAAATGGAAGAATATACAGTATATGTATATCTAAATTTGGAACTCGTGAAAGAGTTATAGGTACGTATTAAAAAATACATAGTGTTCCGTTTAAAATTTCATTCCCCCCCCCCCCAGTATGAATCATTTCAAAATGGTAATGCGGCATATTCTTAATTCAAAAATTATAAATGTTAAAATAAGTACCTAGTAAAAGCGACATTTCAGTACGATAATATGTTTGGTATTGATTTGTATGTAATTCATCAAATTATGAATAATATTAAATTAGATTTAAGTCAAGTTTAGTTAAATTATGCAGGGTGTTTTTGAAATAAATGTGTTACTTGAAAAGGGTGATAGAGAGCACGAAAACGAACAACTTTTATTAAGCAGCTGATAGTCTAAATGCTTCTGTTTTCAAGAAAATTAACCATAAACCGACCCTGTGCATCTTGTGCACGTGCACGGCCAAAATGCTTCGGACACGCTACATGCGTGAGGCGCTTCTCTAATTGGCTAACGTTCCACGTAACTTCCACAATCAAGCAAATCTGATGATAGTTCTTATTTGTGTTGCGGTATTACTTAGCTGGCGTATAAAATGTTTTCTTGTTTGTATGCGGTCCGTTGCCGCAAAGGACGACAACATAACAGAAGAACAGTGCAAAATACAGTTCAAACGGGATACCGGGAATGTCCACCTCATATATGAAGGTCGTGGACGGGAAAGGTTGCTACATGTTTTCGACAACGAAGAAAACATCATCAACCTCGTCGAGGAAGATCCGACGCGCAGTACTCGCGACATTGGCCAAGAAGTTGCACTACGGAAACAATTATTACACCCCTATCATGTACAAAGGTTGAAGCATTAAATAATAATGATATTCAGCTCTGTGTGTCTAGTGGTTTCGTCATCAAATAGCACAAGATCGGAATTTTACAAGCAAGGTGCTATTTACGGATGAATGTTGAAGGAAAAATGTCGACCCTTGAACAATGTCGAGGGAAAAATGTTTATATATTTACACCAATAAATATCATAAACAATTTAATTTTTTAAAATTTATTATGAGAGATAAGACTTAATTCCTATTGTTTATCATGTTTTATTGGCTACTATTAACACATTGACTTTTTAATAGAGATAAATTGGTCTAAGTTTCCTTGAAATATCTTTAAAAATTATCTATCGTAAAATAAAACAGAAACAAATCTTTGATCCGCCATAACTGTACTAAATTAACTTGACCAAATTATTTTCACTCAAAGAATCTATCCAATCTTGACCAAACACCCTGTATACTAAGCAAGTAAAACAAAATGTATCTAATCAGTTAGCAATATTTTACTGAGTGTAAATATAGGTATTATTTTTACAAATTTAAGAAGTTAGAAGCCTATGCCACGGACGACAGAATAATACAAATAAATGTGATGCGCATTTTTGGAAATGAATGTGAAAAGTATCTAAAAGGGCAAATCAGTTATCAGATTGCTTAGGTAACATAATGAGCATATTTATAACAGTATTTATTTGATAATCAGCTGAATTTATAATTAATAAAGGTTTTTGATATGTACATCCTTTTGACTCAAAGATGTTATGAACGGTAGGCACAAAATGGTTTTTCAAAATAACACTAGCAGTTACAAACATTTAAATCAACTCGTAGGTATAATAATCAGAGTTATGTCCGAAGTTAACATCATATTTTTTAACATTTGGTGATTGGCGGTAATAACTCGATTTGATAATAAGCCGTAACTTAACAGGGCAGAGATATGATAAAATAGTTTTATAGTATAAAAGCTGTCCGTGTTAGTTAAAAATATGTGCTTATAAATAAAATGAGCCATTAAATAAATTATTTACAGCATATGGTCAGTTTCAAGTTTAATATTAAAGTTCAATCTAAAAATAAGATACAAATAATTTGAGAAATTCTGAAATTTCGCATATTTTTACTATATGTACTATGTGTACAGCAAGATACGTATTTCTCTCTTTTTATTGTTAAAGCAGCATTAGAAATTCCATTTTACTATTTTTTTATAAATAAATAAATAAATGGCGTTAAATAAAAGTTCCCTAATATAAATTCATTCAGTGTGTCCTGATTTTTCACATATGTACATAATATAATTTAAATATATTGTGTCTATACCAGGGTGTTTATTAAACATACGGTAAACATTCAAGGGGTTATTCCCTGTAAGAATATGTTGTCCTCAGATGATTTTTGAAACGTTGCTTTGTTCTTAAGATACAGAGCGAGAAAAATTTTCGACAAAACCAATTCTGATATTTTTGAAATTTTTATGTAACCGAAATAAAAGTATGATCCTGATACAAAAACCTTCCAAAGTATTCATCAACGTCTTCTTTAAACAGGCACATTGAAACGAAGTGGAGGGCCAGGGAGGCCAATGACAGTAAGGACATGATACAGGTACTTCTACTCGAAAAAATGTAAATACTTTGAATGTAAGTAAGGGACTATTTGGAATATTTTTAGGGATTTGTTGTACCCATACCACATCCAACTCGTTTTCGACATCATTTCTCGTTGAACGTTGGGGTTGCGATTGTGGGTGACTGGCTAACTGGTTCGGTATTTCTACCAGGAAGACTTATCGAAGTGTATCGCAATTTTTTGGAACAAACGCTACCTCAGTTGGTGCACCAGCGCTTTTTAGTGTGGTTGCTCGTGAGTTTTGAATAGTAACATACGGAGATCGCTGGATTGGTCGAGGTGAATCTCACTATTCGAATTTTTGTAAAACATTAACCTGCGATTTTTTTGAAAACAGTTCCATTTAAATATAGGGTAGGTTCCATTTGAAGTATTGACCCCATCCATGGAATAATTCTGTGTACACCATTGACTGCTTTCCTACGCAAATATTCTATCTCTGAGACTACCTCATGCAGAGGAAACTACAGTTTACTGAATCATTATTAATTAAATTGTTGTTACGGTCAAGAAAATAAACCATTAAGTTTTAATGACAGTATAATTAAGAATCAGTTAGAAGTTACTTAGATTATAATAACTTTTCTGCATTATGAATTATTTAAAAATAAGAAAGAGAAAATTTTTCAAAAGAAGATATCATTAGTAGTGCCAAATAATAAACAAGACATACGAGAGACAAATAAAACCCGGGAAGAAATGGAAACCGAATTCACTAACAATTCTCCTGGCAGGTGAATAGAAATGTTGCAGTTTTGAAAGAGGGTTGTGAAAATAAAAAGATTGCAGCACATGAAAAATTCTAAGATGCTCTGGGAGTGGTCTGCCCCCAAAAGAAAGGCGCTTCTCACGACCTAGTTTTATCACTAATAAATTATAAAACTGTTTACGGACTGTTTTATGGCAAAAGCGAGCTTATATTTTGTCGATGCAAACAAACGCCCTTAATGCTAAAATACAAATAGATATGTATATTGCCTCTAAAAAGTCAATACACAATTACAAACAAGCTACAAGAGCCTCTTGTATAAACCAATTATCTAGAACTTGTTTGGATTTTACAGCTGTTACGTTGTTAAAATTGCCAGTTGTTAACCTGGTTTACATTAGATAAGAGATACCTACTGAAAGAAGTTCTGTTTTTGAATTTACCACTTAACCGAATGAAAAATACTAATTCGTTTGACTTGTACTAGTTGAACTAGTGTACTTACGGTTTTTGTATTGGAAAAGTAGTATTCTCATTCATTTTGTTTAGCTTTATAGGTCAATCATTTAACGTTTACCTTTTAAGTTCGATAATTCATTACCGTGAAATGTTATCATCGCTAAATATCATTATACTCTCTTCAAAACATTTTGGTAATAGTGATTTTTATGACCTGTGGTGTTATTTAAAGTACCATGATTTTGCGGGTTGTTATAGATATACTATACATTTCCTTTGCCTTGGATAGAAGTCTGCCTTGTTATTCTCGGGCTAGAATCTGTGGCGGCGGGGCGTTATCAGAACCACTACACCCGCCCTATTGATTTCGGTTATTATTGTTAGTCCTAGGGCTACTGCGAACAGAACCGCTTTGGTTTGTTATTGTTTTAATGAAATTAATTGACAAGAAGGTTTATGCAAATTTAGCTGATTAGTGCTTTAACTTCAACTCTTTTAGAAGATATTAAGAAAAAATCAGAGGGGCCAGTACCTATAGCGTCTTTTTAATGTTATTTTTATAATAACATCTAATTTGTTTATGTAAGTTTTTACAGAACTCCCCAAGCAATAATTCTCCAATGAAGGTTATATAGATTCCACAACAGATAATAAAAAGTTCTTTAGAGTTCTTTTATTTAAAATTTTATATCTAAACAATAAACTTCTCAATTTGTAGCAAATATTGTTTATGTTTCACCTCAAATTACAATCTATAATAATCCCAAAATATTTTATGAAATCTGCTTATTCAATTACTATAGATAACATCATCAATAAAAAGACTCTTAAATAAAGAGAGAAAATTACCTTCACAGTTAATTATTAAAAAACTGACATGTTTTTTGTATATTATAAATATCCTCCTCAACAATTGTTTTCCATTCTGGCCAAGAGTCAGCAATATATACATAAAACTCTTATATCGACACCGAAACTAAATATTGTTTCTTTGAAACTATGGATTAATACATTATTCATATAAATTACAAACAGTAAAAGTGATACATGTAGGTATGTACATAATTGAATAATATAAAAAAAAATATGTCACTTCACAGACAGTGCATGATTTAGCAAAGTTCAGAATATTCATAATCGTTCCTTCAACATACTTAATGATCTCGTCATGTTACGTAAGTTTAGTAGTCTGACTTCATAAAATTGCTACTTTCTC